GAGTATGTACAGTTATATGGGAATTCCATGAGCTTTTTATGTGCTTTATCCAAGTTACTACAAAATAAATTGTGAGGTTAATAATTCAATCCGGTGTAGTTACATCGACATAAGGTGATTTGGGATCAATCTTGATGATGTATGATCGATATTAAAATATTATGGTTTATTCTAACCAATTTTAGTATTGGTTATAATATTTTCAGATTTATCTTAACCTTTTTTTTTCCTGGTCATAACTTGACCCATTTAACCATAATATATAACTCAAAAAGTATAAGTTGATCCCAATGTAATTTTGGTGTGATGCCTCTTGCAGTAAGATAGTCATAGCTAGGTCTGTCAATCACGTCGTCAGATTTAACCGGGTTCGTGTCAAAAACATTCTATTTATATTCGATTTGGTTATTAATTCGTGTCTAACAAATCGTATTACATTGAGTTTATGTCGTGTATTATTGATATATAAATATGTTGTGTTATATATATTTTTTTAATTAACTTCACTTATACTTGATTTATTTATTAATTGTGTTGGGTTCACTCATTTACAAAATGAATAGTATAAAAAAATTAAAATTTTTTAATTATGTGTTGTGCTAATAAATGATAAATACTCCCACCCCGTTGTAAAAGGTTGGGTGCTTTTGTTCTACAGCCTCTTTAGCCACTTTCCAATGCATTGTAGTTTTGAGGTTGATGGTTTGGTTTGGTTTAATCAATCTGGAATCTGCATTCAGCAGAGCAACGATGATAGAATCACAGAATGACCCTTTGGGGGTATGCTCATATGTATGTGGAGTTCAATCAAACATAAATTAATGACATTAGTTTAATTCTTTTAATGATCAAATACCATATAAGTTAAATTCATGATTATACATAATTTTTCACATATTACAATATCAAATCGACTATAACCCTATTTATATACATATATATATAACAAATAATTTAGAGGTAAGAGAATTTGGAATTTTTTTTTATTTTTTAATTTCTTAAAATTTAGAATATTTTAATTCAAAACCTCCTCCTAATGAAACGCTATCTTGTCATTTGTAAACCATCTCTCAACTCTCTTAATTCCTATTTTTGAAAATTTACTCAAAAAAGTTATTTTTTATTACTTAAGTTATTTTTATAATTATTTTATCTAACTTCTCAAATGAAAATTATAAAAAAAAAAAAGACACGAATTATAATCCTGTGCACTGTACGGGACAGACCACTAGTAACAAATAATTTAGAGGCAAGGGGTCTTGGAAAGTCTTCTTTATTTCCTAATTTCTTATAATTTTAAATTTTTTAATTCAAATCTTAAGATTCCTTCCAATCACACGGTAGAATGTGTCATTTGTAACTGACCACTATTTTTTAACAATTCAAATCTCAAAAGATAAACAAAATAATTTTTACTATTCGCAGTTAAGATCGTTTTAAATTTTATTTTAAAATTAATCTACCAGCTAATGTTAACACCCTAAATTTAATAAGAAAAATAGACCCCTAAAGGTGTGTTTGAAGTGACTTTTTAAAAGTACTTCTAGAAATTATTTATCATAAATACTTTTAAAAAAAATGGTGTTTGAAACTGTCTCAGCACTACCTTCACAACCACCACTGTCGCCGTCGCCACCACCGTCACCGTTGTCATTGTCGCCGTCGTCGCCACCATCGCAGCTATTGTCGCCACTACCACTACCACCACCACCACCACCATCACCATCACTATCACCACCGCCACCGCCACCATTGTTGCCACCGCCACCACCAGTACCATCGTTGTCGTCACCACCACCACCGCCGCCATCACTATCATCGTCGTCACCTCCGTTGCCACTTTTGCCACCACAGTCGTCGCTGCCACCACCACCACGATCATTGTCACCCACCACAACTATCACCGTTTCTTACTACCACCATTGTCGTCCACCACCTCTCACCCCATTACAATTGATGCTTAAATTCATTTATCTCTCCTCTATGTTTGTAATTTGATTTTGGATATGAATAAAATATGTTTATTATTTATCATTTTTTATTACTCTGTACCTTCAGGCACAGACAATAACTAGTATATATAATAAAGTAGCTTACAATTCAAATCTCAAAAGATAAACAAAATGACTTTTGCTATTCGCGGTTGAGATCGCTTTAAATTTTAGTTTAAAGTTAATGTAATGGTTAATATTAACACCATAAATTTAATAGGAAAAATAGGCGTCTAAGAGTGTGTTTGAAGTGACTTTTTAAAAGTACTTTTAAAAATTATTTCTCATAAATACTTTAAAAAAATAGTGTTTGAAATCACCCCACCACTACCTTTACCACCACCACCACTGTCATTACCACCGTTGCCACTGCCACTGCCACCGCCACCATCGCCCTCGTAATCATAACCGTCACTATGGTTATTGCCACCCACTATAACCATCATCGTCTCCTACCACCACCACTGTCGCCTACCACCTCTCACTTATACTATAAATTGATATTTAAAATCTTTTATCTCTTCTATATGTTTGTAATTTAATTTTGGATATAAATATAAATATATTTATTATTTATTATTTTTTTTATTTTATATATTCAAATACGGACAATAACTAGTAAATATATAAAAGAGGAAATATAATTCAATTCCGTATGTCACACGGAGCAGAGTGCTGGTGCCTTTTGAAACACTCAAAGGCATGACAACTGTCAAAAACTTTGAAGGTCAATGAACCAACACAAAATTTATTTATGGATTTGACTAAGATACCCAAAAAAAAAAAAAATCAGTATTCTACCTCTATATATCATATTTGCTATTACTTTTATCACGTTGGTGGGTCCTTTGTTACTGTTATGGTACCCAAAAAATTGTAAAACTAGTTATCATAACTGTAGTAAAAACATCCATAAATATAGAAAAAATACTCATAAATGTAGGAAAAACACCTATAAATGTGATAAACTTTTTTTGTAGTAAAGACAAGTGGTAAAAATATTTATCACAAAATATGATAAAAACACTTAAAATAATAGTGATAAAAATACTTACAAAAATAGTAAATCACTCATAAAAGTAATTTTTTAATTGTAAAATTACCCACAAAAATTATAAAAATACTCATAAAAATAATAAAAGTTAGAGATATAGTACCAAATTTATTTCTTCAGTACTGTAGTCAAGTCTTTTACATATAGAGTTCAATGTACCTAACATCTAAATATCTAGAAGTTTCCCACACGGCAAGAGCTTATCTTTAGACTGTGTTAATAGTAAATTATATTTGATATCACCCTTCAATTTGAAGAAAATTTCGCACAGACCCGGACATTTCAAGAACAGCATTGAGATCTAGTACCTCACAAGCCAAAAGTGTGAATATATCCTAAAATAAGAATAATTTATAATTTATTCTCTTACTATGCGTTTGGTACGTGATTAATGCATTTAAACAGGAATAGAATTGACATAAAAATGTAATTAGCTTGAAAATGAAATGAAATATATATTATCATTCTAATATTTGATAATTAATTGAGATTAAGTTTTGAAATAGAATAAACATTTCATTCCCACCTTTGGATAAAATAATTTTTATTAGAATATAATAAAATTTAATTAAAATATTTTTTTACCGTAAAATTTCAAACTTAATTTAACATTTTCTTTTTTACAATGAGTACTCCTGTTAATTTTAAAAGATGAAAAATTAGAATAAATGTACAATCACATAATGAACTAACTCACCGAAAACTAATTAAAATCAATAATAGACCAAGGTAAATTTGATAATGAAATGGGAAAAAACAGGATAAATTTGGTAATACTTAATCCCATGATTTATGTAATTAGGTATTCCTCCGGAATGGGAATAAATTTTAATTCTTACCAACCAAACATAGGAATCAACATTAGTAAGGAATACGTTTTTTTGGAGGGGAGGAGGGAGGGGGACTTGAATCCTGAACTTCAAGAAAACAAAGACTTTACAAGGTAAGAAAACGAGTACAATTAGATCAACAAACCCTTTGGTAATTAGTAAGGAATACATATTTCATTCCCAAGGTTTAATTCCAAGTACCAAATGCAAGTATGTAATTAATTTCTATTTGGTCCTGAAGTTTTAATTATAATAATTATATCTTTAAAGTTTAATCGAGTTTTAATTTAATCCTTTCATTCAGATCTATTAAGTTATTTCGACAGAAGGATGTTACAATTCTTTATCTTAAAAAAAAAAAAAATCTCAATCTCTCTCATATACATAAATATTTCTCTCAATCTACCAACACCTTTCAAATTTTCACTCTTTATCTTTTTATTCGGGTTTGTTATTTTTTCTTCTTCAAATCAGATGAAACAAATTAAAGTTTTATAGCATATGTATGCATACCAAACAAATATATTCCTTCGCCTAAGTCGTCTATTGGTCACAAAATGTCAATTTGTTATAATAAATTAGTGAATTTGGATATATAGATTAAATTTAAACTCAACCAAAACTTTAAGAATTTGATTGTTGTAATTAAAACTTTAAGAGCCAAATAGAAACAAGTAGATCCCCTAAAATAATAGAGTAAGATCATGTTCCGTACACTTTATTTTCAGTTTCCATCTCAACACATAATCCACCGTGATTCAAGTGAGACCCGTTATACACGAGTGTGCCAAAAAAAATTTGAAGAAAAAGTCCAAAAAATAAAAAAAAATAAATATATATATATATATAGTCAATCCACAGAACAATACTAGAAGCTGGCCTCGGCGCTGAAGCAGCCAAAGAAGACCACACATATTGCTTTCCTTCTCTCTGAAACTCCAGCTCTCAACTGGACCCAACAAAGCAACTTTGTTCATCCAATTTCTGTGTGCCCATTTGCTTTCTATTCTCTCTCTTAAATCATAAATTGTAGAGAGAAAGAGGGAGGGAGAGAGGGAGAGGAAGAGAGAGAGAGAGAGAGAGAGAGAAATTCCCAAAAGAAGAAGACAGTTAAAAGGCCCTGTTATGGCATGCTTTGTGCCTTTTAATGATAGAAATTTAGATATAAGCTTTTTTGTGTTTAGGCCAACTGTTGTACTTGAGGATGATCTTGTGAAGGCCTTAAAACACTTCTCTTTATGCACTGAGACTCTTGGCTGTGTTCACAGTGCTGTATTTAGGAGTATTCATGGGAATATGGTAAGGACATCATAGTTTCATCTCTATCTCTCTCTCTCCACATCTCTCTCTCTCTATATATATATATATGTATATTCTAATTGGTTTCTTCTTTCTTCAGATCATATGGTATGGAGCATGGATTAAGAGGTCTAGTGAGAACAAGGAGTTACTCAATGCAGCCCTTGTAAGTTTAATACCTACTATGAATTCATTTTTATTACAGAAAAATCCTTTGTTGGGTAGGAGGAAAGAAATTACAATAGGAATTACAAAGCCAACACCCACAAACACACCCTAAGAAGCTTGCCAATCTTTTATGTAAATCATTCTCGACATAATTTATAAATTCAACATAGCCATGGTAGACTTATCTAAATTGTGGAATCGTACCCGGTGCAAGCCCAGAGCGCAGGGCGCGAGAGAAGTAAGTGGTTCACCACAATTTGGATGACAATGTCGATCACTTATCTCTCTAAGATCTCGCTGTAGGCAGAAACATTCTGCACTCGCTACAATGTCGGCCACTCACTGCTGTTGTGTTGTCTTGTAAATTATTTTTAGATCTAATTAGTTAATTAAATATGTATGCTCTGTCAGAAAAAATACTATTATAAATGGATTTTTTTTTTTTTTTATAGGAATAGTCACTTTTTGCTTTGGCAAAATGCCGAGGCAAATGGTTATTTTTTGCGTTTGCAAGAAGTATTTGCTTTGACATTTTGCTGAAGCAAAAAGTGATTATTTGCATCGGGGTTTTTTTTACCATGCCCCCTTTGCCGAAGCAAAAAGTATTTGCTTCGGCCCCAAAGACCTTTTTCTTCGGCAAATAGCCGACGCAAAAGTCTTATTTTCTTGTAGTGACTAAATACTACCTTTTCATTATATTTTTTTGTTTCATAGGGCTAATTCATATGTCATTGTGGTATAAGATGCAATATGTCATGTAGATGTAGTATCTTTCCTCTGTTTCATGCATCCTGAAGAGCCCGTCTTTGAGCTTTTTTTATATGAGAATTGAATCTACTCTAGTTCTCATTACCCTTGAATTTTTTCTCCCAGATATCAATGTTGGCCGATGTATCAAGCATGGCTATCTTAATTGATCATAGCTTCTTTGATGCATATGGTGGAGAATCAAGAGATGGCTCACCAGCAGCAAAATTTTTCCCCGGCGACACGATTTCGATGCATTCAGGAACCATTACTGCTGATACCATGAATCAAACTGACTTCTCCTATGCATGCTTAGCCATATTCAAATCGCGTTTCGTAAAACTGGAAGGTGCATCTGCTGGAGTGTGCTTAAAATGCCGTAGTAGGCCAAGAGTGGTGACTCTTTTGGTGTGGAAATCTCTCCATTCCTGCTACTCTTGGATTCTAAATTCCGATTATCGGAAGACTTTTCTTCCCTATCTTGATGGCTTCTCTGTTGATGTCAAGTATGACATTTTCAGGGTTGTTTTTGTTAGTAGTGACAATGTACTGAACTTTCAGTACTACCCTCCTCATCAGATGTTGGAAAATGTGGTAGAAAGTAAAGGAAACTAGGTTTAAAGAGAGAGAGAGAGAGAGATAGCTAAAGGGTGGTGAATCAAATTGATTTGCAACAAGTTTTGTTATATGAATTAGATGTGTTATAGATAGCCCCTGAAAATTTGTTCAGAATTGATTTGAATTCTATCTAAATGTTCATATTGTATACAGAAAAATAGTTTTATAGGCAAATTGTTTTTAAGTGTTTTCAGTCAAACAGCTAAAAGCTTTTGTCAACAGGCTGAGTGTGTGTGTGTGCCAAAACAATTAGTATGTAACACTCGAAGAGTCTTGTCCATGGGCTTTGGATTGGGCCATCCCACAGACTATGGCCTATGAAATTTTCTGATTTGCATCCAAAAGAATTCATATCGAATGGATACAAATTGGAACGAAATACAACACATTCAAAAGAACGTGTGGATTCGAATATGAAGGCAGTCACTTTAGATAAATAATTGTAAAGGTTATCTATTTACTTTGTCCATTATTTTCGACACGGTCGACCTTTAATTTTGGCAAGAAGGAACATGGGCAACTCTCTTTGTTGGAGCTAGAATTCTCTCGATTTATTACTGGGACTTAATTTTTATATTTTTACAGTCAAATACAAGTGTCTGAGCTAAGCAACTTAAATCTGTTTTCATCAAGGTTAAGGTTTGGAACATTGACTAGGGGTGATGATAAATAGTAAATGGCTTTCTAAGAAAAGCTTGGCTTGCCTTTTTAGCATAGTAGTAGTCTAGTTGATACATGTTAAGATTTTTTCACTCTTAACCATGGGAGTCAAGTGTTTTGTGCCTTGTGCCAGAGAAATGGCCAACATTCATATGCTCTATTCATAGTCACTTTTTTGCTTTTTTGAGTCAATACTTGGACTATTTTGTGGGTTTTAATCAATTATTCACTATGGGTCGATATTCATTTACTATATGAATTTCGAGTTTTAAATCTTAAATCAAACACGTGTTTAGAAAGCATATTGAAATATTTTCAAAAAACTCATCCTTTAAGGGGCTGTTTGGTACGTGGGTTTGGGGGGTTTTGGAACATGGGTTGAGAACTAAACCCCATTAAACTCATGTTTGATAACTATAAATTTAGTTTAGGGTTTGAAATCCGGTCCAGTCATGAAACCCATGGGGGGATGGGTTTCATATGTGGGTTTGGGGGTTTTACATTCAAATGATATTTATACCCCTGTGCATACCAAATATGAGTATACATAGCATAATAGTCATATATCCCTACGCATACCAAACATGGGTATGAACAACATTGAATATTGAATACCAAACATGGGTATGAACAACATTGAATATTGAATCCTTTCTTTGAATTCCATCTTTGGTCAAATCCGAATTTGAAAAAGTCAATTCAAATCTCTCTCAAAAAAAACATATCAAACAGGCCTAAATTACATTCAAACCCACGTACCAAACATGGACTTGGGTTTTTGGTGTCATGCCTGTATGGATTTCAAAGAGGCCACCATCAAATCAATTCTTCATAAATGTCAATTTGACCCAAACCATTTTTTACTTGGGTCAATATACCATACACACTATATTCCAGCAGGCCTCTCTCTCTCTCTCTCTCTCTCTCTCTCTCTCTCTCTCTCACACACACAATTGATGAGGTGAAGGAGATTTTTAATTGCCACCTTCAAGAAGTGCCACAACTAAATGTTGAAATCCTTCAAAGTGGTTGCAACCCTTCATTGACTTTAACTTGTGGCATGAGAAGTTTGAAAAATGAAAACTTTTCAAACCTAACGTTTCAAAAAGATTGTGAACTTTCCAAGCCACACTTTCAAAGATTGGAAGAAAAGTGATGAACTAAGGACCCATGCCCTATTAGATTTGAATCATAACACCAAAGAAAGACAACAACTTAGCATTCATACCAGTGTAGGTCCCAGACATCTATCAGTTTTTTCTTCACAATTCAATTGAATCTCCCATTTCCAAATTTTCTAAGCTGACCTCAACAATCCATGTTTATGTTAATCCAACTAGGACCCACTATATTTAGTTAATTTCCCATCAATTCTCACTTTATTTAGCTATTTTCTCATTAACACAAGATGAATAATCGAATATTAAAAACAGAAAATCTATTATGCCAATTTGGTTCCACATCAAAAAAATTCGAAACAAGTCATGACTCATTTTTGCATCAAATCTAAAAAACTTGTGATGGATATAAAAAAATTTTTGGTTCGAACTTAATTCTATCTCATTGATTGTAATTTGACCAGTCTTGAGTTGCAACTTTGACCCGTTTGAGTCATACTTTAGACTAATTGATTTTTTGGTACAATATTAAAAAAAGTCGAAAATCCCTTGAAATTTTTAAACAAATCTAGTGCATAAATAGATCTTAGTAACTAGAAACTCTAGGAGACTAGGAGTTGTCTACGGTACCAAAAAAATAAAATTTGGTATTATATCATCATTTATAATTTTTGTTGGTATTTTTATCATTTTTTTTATAACTTGCGATCGATTTTAATATATTGTAAAAATACCTATTAAAATTATAAATTACCCATAAAAATAATAAAAATTAGAGGTATGGTAATAATTTTTTTTTTACTGTAGATTTCTCGAGTTAAGTTTACATATTTATAGTTGGATATTTAAGATATGGTGGTCCATTATCCTATACCCACAAGCAGATTTGGTCAAAGAAGTACACTACTCAATCTTTCAAGTATGATACACACCTAGTGGTCAAACCCTGTCCAAGGACATATATGTCATGCCATTCACACCATCAGGCCATGAGCTAGAGACAATGAGAAACACACCTACCCAAAAAACAAAAAACAAAAAATAAATACCATAGTTACCCCAAATACCTCCCAATTTTAAACATTCTTTTAATTTTAAATTATCCCATTTTAGTCTTTAAATTATTTAAATCATAATAATCAGCACTTTTCATCTAATTTCCCGTTAAAACAAATTGAAGCACCACGACAATGATTTTAATTTACCCTCAAACTTTTATTTATTTATTTTTTTGCATTAAATTTTGTTCTCATAAGAATCAGACAAATGGGTTTATGTTACGATTTACTTTGTTTAAGAATAAGATCGTGGCAATTGAAAGTTGATGGGGGTGTTTTGAATTAGAAGCATCATTGGGGGAGTTATATAAAACATTAATTCAAAAAAGAAAAGTAGAAGAAGAAATGAAACACTGCATGTGAATAGGGGACCAAGCCACCATCAAGAGTCCCACCCATTGAATAATATGATAATGCCACCATGTAGAAAGAATGTTTTGGACCCATGCTTTTAGCTAAAAATTCTTTTAAGGAAGGCATTCTTGGTAGTAAAAGTTAAAGGGCCATGAAAGGTAATAGAAAAGTTTAAGGGTACCACTTGTTTTGCCTGGGCTTTGGGCTCTAAATTAGGCTAATGGATATTGTTAATCAAAGTATTCTAGGCAGGAAAAGTGAATGATCATGAAAGGTAATAGAAAAAGTTAAAGGGTACCCTCCTTAATTGCCTAGGCCTTGGGGAACTAAATTAGCTCATGGATATTGTTATCTTTTGTTTTGAGAGAGAGAGGGGGCATAGTCTAGGGTTTGGGGCCATGGACATAGAACTATATTCCTGCATTAATTTAAGTGATCCTATTGATATTCTTTTATGAAGTCATAAACACATAAACAAGTGGTGTAAAGCATGATGGTGTCAAACAAGTGAACGCCATATGTGGGGTTTACATCACATGGTGCAACCAATTTGATTATGAAACCAAATTCTAGTTTAGTTGCCATTTGGCAACGGTAGCCTTTACTTGACACCTCAATTTAAGTTCGAGTTTTAATTTTTTTTACGTAAAATTTCAGTCACACTCCTTCTAGTTTATTATATTTTTAAAAACACCTCATCTATTATTCAAAATATCATTGACACTTTTTAGTTTGTATTTAAACATAACGGACACCCCATATCATTAAACCATCATTTCTTACTAAAAATTTTTATCTAAAATATCAAAATTACCCTAAACAATCTTTTTTTATATAAAATTTGATTAAAATTTGAGCCGTTTTGAGCTCATTAAAATTTGTTTTTGTATATATTAAAATTTAAGTCGATTAAATTTTATTTTTTAAAGTATTAAATTCGAGCGTCGATTTGAGTTCAACTTGAGCTGTTAGCTCCAATTAACATTTGATTCGAGTCAATTAAATTTTAATTTTTTTATTTATTAAAATTTGTGTTAATTAAAATTCGATTCAAATTTATTAAAATTTATTTTTTATATATTAAAATTTAAGTCGATTAAAATTTCTATTTTTTTTACATATCAAAGTTTAAGCCGATTAAAATTTAATGTGAGTTGTTTAAAATTTAATTCAAGCCAATTAAAAACGAATTTTAATCGGATCGAATCGAATTTTAATACGTTAAAAATTCATAAAACGGATGTTGTCTGATTGAAGATATATCTATCTAAAGGGAGCGTGAATGAAGTTTTTTTCTAAAATATATCATGATAAATTTAATAAAATTGTCTTTTAGTTAAAACCTTTAGTCTAATATGAGGTGTCAATGAAGATTCAAAAAATAGAAAACGTATCATAAAAAATATGATAAACTAAAAAATGAGTAGCTGAAATTTTTTCTTTTTTCTATTATGTTTGTCCTTGTGCACTTGTAGAATGAAATTGAAATTGTTACCAACTCGAGAAAAAAAAATTCAATTGCATTAAGTCACCATCCACATTGATTTCTATCAATACCCTTTCCATATGAAGGTCCTCATGGAGGGTCGGCTTGTTTTTCTAAGTTACATATTAAATTGAATCACACTAAAAGAGTATTTGGTGGGAAAAAAATAAGCCTAGAAACATTTTGGAAAGAGAAATTTGGATGTTTCTCTTTTGTCCATTTTCTAATCCCCACCCTCTTGTAGGTTCTACACTGAGTATTCTAACCCTAATACCATTTGGTGACAATTACTTAACAATTAGGAGGCCCAAGCAACATGATTTGGGGGAGAAGATTGAGTCTTTTCTAT